AACACAAACAGGGTTTATAGAACGAAATGTCTCTCTACACTGTAATCATCTACAGAACGTCTTCTTGCAGAGAGAAAATTAAACATTTACTGAAGAAAAAAAAAACATTTGAAGCTGTGCAATTACAAATGTGTCCAGTTCTTAAATGTTTATTTAGAGAACAAGCTCCCGCACCAGCCCTAATCTGGCCCTCAAATCTCTTTAGGGTTGAAAAAATAAATAATCCCACCCATGAGGTCTGGGCAGAACAATTTAGAAAAGAAATTTTCTTTAATTTTGTGAAACTTCGCAGAATTCAGGGATTCAATTAGCGGTTAATCCATAAGAACGATAACCTGAAGGAGGAGGGAAACGGAAAAGTATCTGCACAAACAAACCCGCTGTCCTTGAGGAATGATTCATGGAGTCACGTCATCCTGAGGCTCCACTTCGTTGCTCCACACACCTAATTAATCCCCACCAACTTCCAGTAACACATTTGACAAGGCCAGTGCATATACGAAAATGCACGTTCCTTTAAAAAAATAAAATACCCTTCAGTTTGGAGGACACTGTCTGTGCCTTCACAGGTGAAAGGATCCAGCTTGTATGCGTTCAAAAGGTATTTCTGCACAAAAAGGAGGAAGTGGAGAGATGAGGGTGAGTTTAACCACCTGCATGGTTTTTCAAGTTTTTTTGCTCACTTCCTGCCAGGAAGTTTTGTTCATATGTCGAGTGGTATTTTTATTCTGACATTTTTACGTCTAAAATAACACTTAAAGAGCAAGTCACCCCCAAATAAACTTTTTTTGCTGATAAACTAAATAAACGAGTGTCTAATCGTGCTGCAGACACGTGTCGTCAATAATTTGGCACTTCAGTGCATCTTAGTTAAAATTTAAATATTCTGCCTAAAACTGACAGTGTTGTGCCGTTGTCAGGTAAAAACTCTGCACTGTATTTTAATTGAAATCTGCCACCGCTATTGGCTAAGAGGTATGCTATGATGTAAACTGGTACATTATGATGTCACAAAGCTGTCGTGAGCCTGTGTGTGTGTATTTGTTAGCAGCTTCACCCTCGCGGTCTGCCAGGCAACAGCATTTGTTGCATTTTTCAAACATGAAGTGGGAGTGGAGTTAGATTCTGGTAGGGGTTGACTTGCTCTTTAAGTTTTCAGCTTCTCCCCCTACTGGTTGAAATTGGAATTACAAATGTCGTAAACAACCCTGCAGCAGGCTTTGAAGGTAATGGCCCAGTCTTCATGTTTTTAAGTCCAGGCTCAAGGCCCATCTTTTTAGGTTAGCTTTTATCTAAATATTTACTACAGTTTTATTCCTTGTTTTACATGATTATATTTTATTGCTTGCACGGCATGTTTTATATGATTATATTTTAGCAGTTTTATTATTTAATATTATTTTACTGTCTATATGATTTTATTTATTACTTATTTTCTAACTTTTGTCATTTATATTAGCTCTTTTATTGTATTTTTACTCATTTTAATCCAATGTTTCCTCTGTAGGGGCCCTCTGCCCCGGGAGCGGTGGTCGACTGTAGCTTCCTGGGCGCTCTATAGGTGGGGGTCTATGCTCCTCTGAGCGCCCTGACTTACTGTGGAAGACCTGATGCTGCCGGGGCAGACGGCTCCTCTGATGGTGTTTCCTTCCCTTACCTTACTTGGCTCATCTGGACTCAGCCAAATATAATTTTTACTTGTGTGTGTGTGCGTGCGTGTGCTTGCAAATGTCTGTTAATGTTTTTAACCTGTTATGGGAATCTGGGGTCATTTTGTAAAGCACTTTGTTTGAAAAGCGCTTTAGAAATAAATTTGATTGATTGATTGACAGTCTCAATACTCGCTGTTGCACCCTTGCGCCCTTCATTTGCATGTTCCCGGCCAGGGGCGCGAGTGCGAAGGGTGTCCCGATTCTCAAGTGCGGAAGTTGACCACGCCCCCATTGCACCCTTAATCTGCACTTCACCCAAGTCTGCAGCGATGCGGACCTCGGGCAGGGGAATTACCCACAAGTCACACTAACTGATTTGCAGGAGAAAAGGCTCAAGTTCCTTTTCTGAAAATATGTATTTTCTAATGAAATCAGTTAATTTTAGGATGATTAGTTGATGCTCTAAAACATTTAGACAAAGCAGCAATACATGTACATTTATTTCAAATAACTGTTTGGCTGTTTGTTTAAAAGTTGTAAATAAAGGTTTTTGAAAAAAGCATCACAGCGACCAGCATCCCCGCATGCGTTGTGATCGATGACGCAACACTCCCCGTCTCAGTTCTGCGATTATTTGCACAGTTGTGCACTATGCATTCGAACCCTACTGCACACTTTCTCCAAGTGCACTTTGCTGACGTTGGCAGGGCGCAGTGCGAGTATTGAGAATGGGCCAATGATGTCATCAGAAATGGTGTTGCATTTTGATAACCGGCAGTTCAGAAACAAAAAAAAAGTTGGACTTTCCTTTTTCTTGGTGTTATCATTGACTCCGACCTTAGCTTCTCTGGACATATTAAGGCTATAACTAAATCAGCGTTTTGTCACCTTCATCAGATATCATGAGTCAGAGGTCTCATGTCCAGACCAGACTTAGAGAAACGTATTCATGCTTTTATTTCTAGTCGGCTGGACTGCTGCAATGGTCTCCTAACTGGTCTTCCCAAAAAAGCTGTGAAGCAACTGCAGCTTGTTCAGAACTAGAGAATGGAGCACATCACTCCTGTTCTTAGCTCTCTACACTGGTTACCAGTAAACTACAGAAAAGATTTCAAAGTGCTCCTACTAGTTTATAAATCACCCAATGGCATGGGACCAGAATACACGTCAGATCTCATCCCTGTATAAACACCCAATAGGGCTCTGAGATCCCTTGGAAACAATCAGCTGGTAGAACCTCGGGTCAGAACAAAACATGGTGGAGATGCATTTAGTTACTACGCTGCTCACATATGGAATCAGCCGCCCCAGGACCTCAGATCTGCCCCAACCCTCGTGTTGTTTAAAACCAAACTAAAACCCTCATGTACTCATCAGCCTTTAAATGAATTGTTTCTTATGCTGCGTCGTAGCCAGTTTGGGGGTGAAACTTGACGCTCACATCAATTCTGTGATCCGGTCCAGTTTCTTTCACCTGAGACGCCTTGCAAAAATTAAGCATATGCTGTCGAGAGCCCACCTGGAGCGGGTACTGCATGCCTTTGTAATTTCTAGGCTTGACTACTGCAGCTCTCTATATGCAGGGTTGTGTCAGTCATCACTGCGTCGCCTACAGGTTGGGCAGAACAGCACAGCCAGGTTCCTGACTGGGACCAGGAAACGGGACCACATCAGTCCGGTTCTGGCCACGCTGCACTGGCTTCCGGTTTGTTATCGTTCACAATTCAAAATCCTCGTCTTTGTTTATGATTTCTTCCAGGGTGGTGCTCCCCCCTATCTATTCACTCTCCTGAACAGACACTCTCCATCACGCGCTCTGCGCTCCTCTGACCAAGGCCTGCTCGCTGTCCCTCGTTCTAGGTGTCGTACTCACGGGGACCGGGCTTTCTCAGTCCTAGCACCGTCACTCTGGAACCAGTTGCCACCCTCAGTTAGGCTGTCCCCATCTCTGCCAGTCTTTAAGAGTCACCTAAAAACACACCTCCTCCGCTTGGCGTTTCCTGAACATGTTTGATTTTGGCCCTCTATTATGTTGAATTTATTTCACAGTTTTCACTGGTTCACTCAATCCATTGTTTTACACATTTGTCCTGTACCAGAATGTTTCACCTTTTTTGTAATTTGTATTTTGTCATTTGAATTGCTTTTATTTTTGATTTATTCAATATATTTACCTACAACTGTACTATGTTCAGCGCTTTGGGCTTCCTGACAGGGTTGCGGCAGGCGCTTTATAAATAAAGCTTTGATTGATTGATTGATTGATTGATTAAACTTTAATTCCATTAGTGTGCATTTTAACGTGATTTTATGTTGTTTTCAGATCATGTCCTGATAATTGAATTGCCTCTGTGTTTGAAATGTGCTCTATACATAAAGCTGCCTTGCCTTTCTTCCAGGCTTTGCCATGATGCCAACAAAAAAGCAAACTTCTTCTTCCTGTGCCTTTTATTGACAGTCAGCGAACTGAAAAAGCTAACTGTTAGAATTTATTTGCACTACTGGCACAGTAAAGCCATAAAGCAAGTAGAGACCTCCCACTTGTGCCTACACGAACCACCAAAGCTGTTCAGGGCAGTTTTCGGCTACAGGGAGCTGTCCCATGTGAAGCTGCTCAAGTTTCTGGTTCAAGAACCACTGAAACCAGTTTGAAAGCAATAAGTTAAAGACTTAAAACTCTTCAGTGCTACTTTATAAAATGCTGCATAAAACTATAAACAAACAGCCTGTTTTAATTTACTTTCATAATTTTAGAAACCTCCAATCTTCAGTGACAGAACATCATAAACGGGGACCCGCTGATTACTCACAGTGAGTATAAATTAATTATAATGTACGCACACTGACAGCTATATTAACTGATTTAACTGCGGCAGTGCGTAAAAATCATTTCAAGGAGCTTTATGAGCCCGAATGCAAACAGATGGTCTACTGATTAAACCTAAAAAAAGAGAGGGAGCCTGAAGGTCAGTGGCAAGTGAAACTTTGATGCTTTAAAACACCTAAACAAAAGGTAGATGGCTTAAATATGTGACTGAGAAGGCACACCCGGGACCTGTTTATGAAGCAGTTGCAGCAGCTAAATTTAATGAGCTTTACCGACCTTGACTAAATCTGTAAAAGCTAGATTTGGATGTAAAGGGTGATATTAGACACCAGCACCCGTGCCACACAAGGACAGAGTCACCGCCGACACTTTGTTCTTTGCATTGTTTGTGGGGAGATTGATTGTGAACTCTAATGGGCATGTCTGTGCATAACAATAGCTGTGTAAACACAGCAACGTGAAGCGTGTGCAGCTGAGGCGCCCTCCTCCCCACAGCCCTCCTCCAGCCCTGCATCGCGTACCTGGTGTCAACAGGATGACGGAGGTGACGATTAGCGAGCAGATGACCAGAATGACAAGGAGGGCGATCGCTATTCCCTTCCAGTTCCTCTGAGGAGGGTTGCTGCCCACCAGCTCCTGTGGAGACGGCAGAGGAGAGAAGGAAAACGGTCAGGAACGTTACAACCAGTCAGATTTATGTAGAATTAATGAGGCAGAAAAAAGGAAAGAGGTGAGAAAGAGAAGTCAAAAATCTGGATGGGTGCAAATGGCAAGCTTATAGGGGAAAAAAGATGTGGGTGTCAGTCAAGGACGAACATGAGTCAGAGTCGCAGCTTCTCCAGGAGACTCGATGGCAGCAGCAGCAGCAGCAGCAGGAGGAGGAGGAGGGGGAGGAAGAGGGGGAGAATACTTAATGAGTGAAGGATCAGCGGCCATCACACGCAAACGAATGTGACAGATAAAAATGGAGCTCACGACACGGTGGTGAATTGCACGCCTAACGCCGGTGCAGAGAGAAGCTTTGGCTCTGGCGAAAGCGCTCGGAGTAATGAGCAACCTTGGGGGCATTCTTTTCATGTGTGACCCATGAGTCCAAAAGAGATGAACCTGATGAAGCTTTGTTTAGTTAAACATTGTTATTTAATGAAAAATGAATCAAAAGGTGCGGTGGGAAATGCCTTTTCAGAACACGAGCGCTTGTGTTTGTTCTTGATGTAAAATGGGTCGGACACAAAGTGATGTGTAGCAGGTGGCTCGCAGAACAATTAGAGGAGAGGAAAAGTTGCAGAATGAATTAGGGCAATAATCCCTGAAAGTTCAATCAGCAGATCTGGATATTGGACATTCTCCAGACTTCCAGTCTGGAGTTTCAGCTTCATATTTATGAAGTTGTGAATCCTTACGCCAGTTTCTCCTCAGGCTGGGACTGCGGGAGAAGTTGGAAACACAAAAGTGTAAGAAAATTAGCTAAATTTTGTTTGAATCACGGTAAAACAGTAACCCTTAAGGTTGGTTTATAGTTGACGCGTCCGCGAGGTTCGCATGGCTCCGCGTGGCGAAATTGCGTCATTTTAACAACCACGCCCCTCCACCGCGCCTCCGCACGGCCCAAAATTTCCGCACAGCGCAACTAGGAAATTTTCTAACCACGCGGACGGTTGTACGCGGAAAAACATGGCGGACTGGCAAGAACTAGTATGGCAGAGGTTTGTAAATACAGACATTTGTATGATTCAGCTCTCAGAGATCACCGTGATCAACAAGTTGTTAATAATTCTTGGAGAGAAATAGCTCGCACTGTCGGAAAAGACGAGGATGCTGTTAAAAAATGCTGGAATGCCATGTTGTAAACAACAGTAATTTCTACTTCTACTATGGTGTAGTGTTGGATGCATGCCGTAGAGCTCCATGCTGCCCCCTACAGTTTGGGAGAATATTGGCTCACCGCAGAGACGAGCCGCATGAACCATAAACGCTGCGAGTTGTGAAGCGCGTTCCATCCGTGAGCCGCATCACCAAGCGGAAAGTGAATGCGTCATGCATAAACCAAGCTTAACCCTTCACCACTAGTTTATCCATTGCTCCATCCTAAAACTCCACTTAGGATCCCAAACTCAGACTTGGAGGAGTCAAGAGTTCTATAGAGCGCCCAAGGTCATGAACAGAACCACATCATCTGCAAAAAGCAAAGCCAAGACCGTGACACCTTCCTGTACATGAATCCAACTTCAGAGTTTCCCCCAGTGCTTTATAAGCCTGGCGGCCAGCCAGGCTTTGCTTGGTCACCCGACAGGCTAAGCATCATGCCCCGCCCCCCTCTCCGACGTGTCCGGTGACACGAACAGCGCAACGAAACTAGAGCCCTCCATCTGCTGATACTGGTGAGAAACAGCAGCGGAACGTGTTTAACCCCCCACCCCCGCTCTCATGGAGGAGCACTGCCCCCCCCCCCCCCCCCCAACAGCCAAAGCCGCCAGGCTTAACTCAACTTCTGGGGGAAACCATAGACCTGACATAATTTACACAGCTCCCGTATGTCATTTCCTGACTGGCCCAATCTGAACTGCAGAGCTTGATGTCTTCTGGAAGCATCTAGCCAAGCTGCACAACTCTATCCCAGTATGTGCTCAATGCATGCCGATGTGCGAGCGGTGGAACCAAACCCACCACTACCCATGCTGGGGTAAGAGGAAACATCTTTAGGTCTGATTGTAGAATTCCAAGCTTGCAATTGAAAAGACCAGATCTGAAAATACATTTCAGATGATGCGTGAAACAGCTTCACTAAACAAGAAAGTCTCGCTGGATTCCATTCAGACATTTAGGATTACAGCGACCTGGATGATCGAGAACCTTCACCAACACTTCAGTTATTCTCTTCTTATTAGTCTAAAGTGTGAGCTGAGGCACAATGGCTGAGGAACCTCGACAGATAAAGCAGCTGGAGGAATAAAAACATGATTTTTTAAAACCGCCGTCGCCGAACAGTCCCACAAGTAAGAGCTAAATCATAACCAAGAGGGAGTCCCAAAAAACAAACTGTTAATGGAGGATTAACACGTTTCTAATGCATTTATAAAGGATAAAATGGAGAAGCAGAGCACATACTTTAGGGACCTATGACTGCAGTGTTAATGAATACACACCACGGCTTTAATGAAGCTGAATGGCTGAGGTAAGAAACAAACCTTTTAGTGACCCCTTTCCACACTGTAATTGAAAAGAGCCGAGAAAATCATTAGCCTGCAGATAAGAACAATCAGGTCCATTTACCAGACTGTCCATTAGCCACATTTATTAAAACCCCGGACCAGTTCATTAGTTCGATGGTGCTTTGATGGGCAAAAAGAAGGACAGCTCAAGAAGACGCAAGATTAAAAGTTCTTAAGACATTTTTAAAGACTTGTTTCCACATATCGGTTATTTTATTCAAATGTTGGACTTACTTTGGAGACAAGAGGAAAAAACGTATCATTAAAGCTCATAAAACATTATATTTTCAGGTTTCTTGGAATTATTTTAAATATCTAACTTGAAAACCTGTTTAGATCACTTTGAGCCAGTACTTTAAACTAAAGCATTAATGTTACTTGAAGACATTTAAAAGTTGAATCCTCAAAATTCAAAAGTGTCCAACAACACTAAAGATGTTTCCAAACACAATGCTGCTAATGTTCAAAAAGGTTCTGGAGGGCATTTTGACTAGAACGTTTACACCTCAGTCTTGTTGACGTAACCTAAAGGTCCCTGGTTCGGTTCTGGGTTTCGGCACCATCCGTTACGGGTAGGTCTGTAGGAAACTCCTTTCTTTCCTGGACAATCTCCAGCTGTTGGACCTTACTTTCCTGGTTCTTTACTTCCAGGGAAGGAAGACCGATAACACTCTGTTTCTGATACACTCCACAAAAGACCATTATGGAAAACAAGCATGGAAAAGAATCCAAACAAGACACTTTGACCCCCTGAAGCCACCCTTTCATGGTCATCAAGGACCCAAATCCTCTCAGACATCGGTTTTTATCCTGTGTGCTACAAACAAAATGTGAGAAAACATTAGGTGCTGATGTCACCAAGACCGAAGCCACTCCAGCATACTTTCTGTACTGGACAGATAAATAATGGGGGCATGATCTAAGCCGCGTCCCAGATCAAATAAATTATCCAACAGTCCTAAAACTAAAAGATTCATCCATACAAACACAAATTGATATATATGTGAATAGATTAAAACAGTTTTCTAGATTTTTTAGCAGAAGCAGGATGCATGAAAATACTAAGCAGAGCATTTAATGACGAGTCATGATAGCCTGCCTGCTTTCGTTTATCAGCTGCTGTGAGGACGATTTCACGCACTTTATTTATTGTTTTAAAGTCACTGAACCAAGTCTCAGATGCATCGAAAGTTGATTGAAATGAATGAGTGCAATAAAGAGAGCCATAAACATAAATAAAAAGATGCCAAGTCATGAGTTCAGGTCTGCCTCTGGATCATCCCGGCATCCACTGATAAATGAATGTTGTGCTGACAGCCTCAAATGTGATTTAATTAGCATTTTTTTAGACTCAGCCACAAATAAATCAGTTTATTGTAAAGAAACGATGAAGACGTTGAAGTAAAATTTGTTTTATAGAGAATAAGCATTAATACAGTCTCCAATAATGGAATTTAGGACACCCTTTGCACAAGAACGGAGACGTAATAATAAAACTCAACTAGAACACATGGTGTTTACAGGGTTTTGGAGAGGTGTGTATTAAGAATGCCGTGGACTCACTTGTACTGGTTTTCAGTTTTGCCACGTTTGTAGTGGTTTATGTTCGTGGGGCGCCCTAAATTTCAACATTTTACAAATGTATCTGTGTTTTAGATAAATATCAGTGTGAATGATTTTGCATTAGTTTTTGAAATTTCACCTACTTAAGACACGTACAGCAGCTCTTACTTATTTCTGCCAATAGATGGCAGAAGTGGACAGTTTAGTTTAGCGAGTGACTGGTTGTTGCTCCCACGCATTCTACCATAAGCTAACTGTGGGAAATTAAGCCAGACATGTTTCATTTTGTACTCTAGAGCTCATTTAAAGCTCTGTTTAGTGATCCGGACAAGATAAAACCTATTTATGACACCAGAAATAAAGTTCTCATGGTTCCGTGTGTAACGTTAGCGTTGTTTCTGGGTCCTGGGTGGACGCACATCTACAACGTGGGACTCTCAAGCACTGATGTGTCCTTAAAGCACGCATGTTGATGCTGTAGGGGTGTTATATAAAGCCCGGTTTGGCTTGTTCATGTCCAGGCACAATATGATAGGATCGTTGGAAGACATTGCTGCTGATGTAGAGCGTGAAGGTGGACACCAAAAAGGAAGAAGATTGTTACATGTAATATTTTGCCTTATTCGGGCTCACCTGGCAAAGTAGCTATCACAATTTTCTGGGATTTCAATTGTGCAATGGCCTGAGATCCAATCCAATCCAAGAGATTAACTGAAAAACAATAACAAAAGATTTGGTAACACTTTAGTTTAGGGAACACTAATTAACCATTAATTAGCTGCCAATTAATATGCATATTAGTGGACTACTAAGTAAGAATTAGTCACTATTAAGCTATTATTAGGTGCTTATTACCAATGC